CATATTGCCCCCAACAATCTGGGTCCTCATTTTACCCACCTCGGAAGGATGGAAGGCTGAGTCAACCCTGAGCCGGTGAGATTTGAACCGCTGAACTGCTGATCTAGCAGTAGCCTGCAGTGCTGCATTTAACCACTGCGCCACCTTGGCTCTTCTATAGAAATATATCTATTTCTAATTTGTTTAATTAATTGTAAAATTATTTATAGTCCTTTTATTAACGATCTTTGGCAAGAGCGGAATGGGGATAGTGCAACCATCAATCATGGTAACCTTTTGGGTTGGCTGTGGGGCTGGGGATGAATGGCACAGTCTTGTGCAGGTTTGGTCCCAATCAGTGATAATAGGAAGTGAGAGGTCCAGCCCTTGGCTGCTATCTTGCATGTGCCACAGGGCTCAGTACTCTCTCCATTCCTTTTTAACATCTATATGAAGCCACTGAGTGAGATCATCCATCAACATGGGTTGAGGTATCTGCAGCACACTGACCATACCCAACTCAGTATTTCCACCAGATGATGCTGTTGCTGCCCTATCTAGGTGCCTGGAGGCTGTGGGGCTGGATGGGGGATAACAGGCTTCAACTGAACCCTGATAAGACCAGGTGGCTTTGGGTGCATGGGACCCTAAGATCTGGGACTTTGCCATGTTTAATTCTGAATGGGTGACACTACCCCAAATGGATCCGGTCCACAATTTTTTTTTGGGGGGGGGGTTTCTCCTCAGACTTGTCACTCCTGTTCGAGAGCAAGTGGCAGTCGCAGATAGAAGACCTTTGTGCAATTTCGGGTTGTGTACCAGTTGCAGCCTTTCCTGGATCAGGAGTCACTGCACTCAGTCATTCAGGCCCATCATCTCATGGTTGAACTATTGCAATGTATTCTACTTGGGGCTACCCTTGAAGAGCATTTGGAAGCTTGAGCTGGTGCAGAGTACAACAGCATGGATGGTTCTTGAGGCCCCAAGAATGGCTAATGTAACATCACTGCTCCGTGAGCTGCAGTGGCTGATGGTCTCCTTCCAAGTGCAATTCAGATTGTTGGTAATCACCTTTAAAGCCCTTCAAGGTATGGAGTCAGGCTACTTGAGGGACTGTTTTATCCCACTGGGATTGGCCCATTCCATGGCAAGGGAGACATACTGTGGGCCCTGTTGCCCTGAGTATTTCAGTTGGCAGGGTTCAGAAGACTTTCTCTGCTGTTTCACCTGCCCTCTAGAACATCTCCCCTTCCCTCAACTAGTGGGGTTTGCTCTCATTTTATATACTTGTAGCTTACCTTTTCAGTGTTGGTGGAAGTGGTCTTGGTGGTTCCTTGATTGGATGCACTCTGCTAGCCTTCTGCATGTTTGTTCTACATGATTTGCAATATGTTGTCTGTATATTGTAGATGACGCCTGTTTTTTCTTCTGGGGCTGCTGAGTCTTTTGGTTTACTTTGAATGTTTTGGAGGGCTTTAGTTGGTTTGCTTGCTACCGTGATGCCATGTGATTGTAATATTCTGTTAGTAGTTTCTGAGATGTTTTTAATGTTTGGTAGTGTTATTCCTTTCACAGTTTTTGTTGATTGTGTTATATTGGGTTGAGTGGTCAGGCATTATTTTAAAAGAAATTGCATGGAAATCCATTTTATTGGAAGAGGTTGTGTAGATCTGGGTCCCAAAATCTTTGGGGTACCATGGACTGGTTCCATGGAGGATGGGGACGTAGTTTCGCATGCTACCTTCATCCTGCACATGTGCGGATGGGGCTTCAGTCACTTACACATTCTAGTTCCTGGCGGGCATATGGACTGGTGGTGGTCCACAGCCCAGGGTTTGGAGACTCCTGGTATAGATGATCTATTTCCTTTTTCTTATTTTCAAGATTTCTGCAGTGAGTTTGTGCTGGTCTAAATAGTATTCTTACAGAGCTCTTGTGGGAAGTGGTAGTGGGTGGTTTTATGATAGATGTGTGTTTCCAATTTGCTATCACTGCCTCTGCTGATGAGGATACCCTGGAAGGATAGCATGTTATTTTCTTCTTTCCTACTTAATTTTGTTCTTTTGAAGATATTGTTGATGGTTTTGTGTGTGTTCTTTAGTTGGTTTTTTTTTATTATGACAAGGTTTCAGCCGAGGAAACAAACTGCTTAAGGTTGCATTGCCGAAGAGCCCAGAAAGAAAGAATGACAGTTTCTATGACACTTAGTGCGTATTTTATTTTATACACATATAAATAATTTTACATAAAGCCTTCTTTTTCTTGGCCATGCACCATTACTTTTCATTCCTGATATCAGTGTAGTTGCAGGTGAAGATAAACGTGTGGATGACTTGTTTATTTAGGTTTTTGTTCGTTGTAGTCGAAGACTTTGCATGTTACGGTCATAACAACAATAATAGAGTACAATTAAAATTACATAACAATAAACCATAAGCAGGAGTCCTCCTAATTTACACCATATATAAATAATGAAATAGCCAACCTCAAAGCATTAAAATAGACAATGAAACCTATTATTCAAAGATCATCTACAACAAGTATGTGTTTAATTATTTCTTTAAACCTAACAAGGTAGGAACTGATTGCATTTCAAGGGATGTGTTACAGAAAACATTTGTGGACCTCTATCCCTCATAGAAATGGAGACTACTGACAGATTCCCTTGGAGCTCTGCAATGGATGGTTGGAACTGAGTAGAGGAGACAGTCCTAACAAGGCATTTATATTTTGAAAAATA